TCTTGTAATGACACTTTTTAAATTACTAGCATTATCATAAAACACAGCATATATGTTTCCTGTAAGATTGCAATAGCTATCTTTGGTATTAAATTTGATCAAGGATCTTTGATCCGAATCTCGGGATCCGGCTTTGGTATCCGGATAGAACCGGATCCGGATTGTTCACGTAGAATTATTCGGATCTGATCCGAATGTAAAAAGATGTTCTGATGTACAGTACTAATATGCACTATGTTATGTTGGGAATGGGGCGTTAATACACTACGACCTAAAAGATCTATTTTGGCCCCTTCTGTCGCTAATACAACAATGAAATGTATCGATGCCTATAACGACCCTTATAATCATATCTTCTATTTGATATGCTCCTAGGTATAGGGTCCTTGGATTCTGGAGTGCTACACATTTAGTCAGAATGTGGATGGAGATTTCGTCCTCCTCGTCACAAAATCAGCACTCACTATATTCTACTATTTTCAGTTTACTAAGGTTCTTGCTCAGACAGATACAGGCTTCCGTTCTTTTCTGGTTATATTCACCCAGAAATATCTTAGCCTGTCTTAGCCCCAAGGAATTGTTCCAATTATCGGTTCTTCTATTGCCCAATTCTTTTTTAATCTCTCCAGGTCCCACAAAGGGTGTTTGAGCCCCTTTCCTTGCGAGACTATCTGCAAGTGAATATAGTAGTATTTAATTTTCTTAAGTGCATCGATTGTTGTTGCCAAGGTTAGGTAAGGTTTAAAATGAGTGGGATGATCTCATCGCCTTCCACTGCGACCCAGATGGGTCTATTGTGGCTCATGACTAACTTACAGTTCACCGTACAAGCCACACCTTTTGATGAAGGTCATGGTTAAATTGGGTGAGACTTGTTTAAAGTCGGTAGGCTCCAGTCGGGTAAATCCGAAGATCTGGAACCTGGTTCGTTCCAGAGCAGAGCAGGTACATAGAATGTGCTCTGCAGACTCGTCCTCCACGCTGCAGAACCGATGTTTGTTGCAGACCTACCCTTCTCATACGGCAGTGTCCTGTCATCAGTCCCGTGAAAATGCGTAGATTCTTCCTACTCCATTCTCGGATCTGAGCAGAGGCGTTCATAGAAGGGTTGGAGATAGACGCCTTCGAATGAGTTAGCCCTGGGGTATCACTCCAGTTCGTGGGTGTTGCACCCTCCGTCCATTTTGAGATAGTTCCTTTGGAAGTGCTCTTTGCAATGCCCAGGAATGGTCCTGGTCCTATGAACACAGATTCGGTTCCTCTTTTAGCAAGTGCGTCGGCGTTTACGTTGCCTCCACACCACTGTGTCTCGGAACCCAGATCAAAGTAACTTTGTTCCGGGCACCGAGACATTCAAGGGGATTTATACAGTTCCAAACCAGCTTTGAGTCAACTCGATTGGAGCTGAGGGCCTTAAGGGCTGCCTGGCTATCTGAAAAGATCGTTATAGTCTTGTTTGCGGGGGAGAAAATTAATCAACTCTCTCGCTCACAATTCTATAGCAATCATTTCTGCGTGGAAGATCGTGGCCAGGTCTCTCTCACTCTCACTCGCACTCGCACTCGCACTCGCACTCGCACTCGCACTCGCACTCGCACTCGCACTCGCACTCGCACTCGCACTCGCACTCGCACTCGCACTCGCACTCGCACTCGCACCATCTCGCACTCGCACCTCGCACTCGCACTCGCACTTCGCACTCGCACTCGCACTCGCGACATCGCACTCGCACTCGCACTCGCACTCGCACTCGCTCTCGCACTCTCACTCTCACACTCTCACTCTCACTCTCACTCTCACTCTCACTCTCACTCTCACTCTCACTCTCACTCTCACTCCACTCTCCTCACTCCACTCTCACTCTCACTCTCACAGCTCACTCTCATCACTCTCACTCTCACTCTCTCTCACTCTCACACTCTCACTCTCACTCTCACTCTCACTCTCACTCTCACTCCACTCTCACTCTCACTCTCACTCTCACTCTCACTCTCACTCTCACTCTCACTCTCACTCTCACTCTCACTCTCACTCTCACTCTCACTCTCTCACTCTCACTCTCACTCTCACTCTCACTCTGCACTCTCACTCTCACTTCTCACGTCGTCACTCTCACTCTCACTCATCTCACTCTCCACTCTCACTCTCTCACTCTCACTCTCACTCTCACTCTCACTCTCACTCTCACTCTCACTCTCACTCTCACTCTCACTCTCACTCCACTCTCACTCTCACTCTCACTCTCACTCTCACTCTCACTCTCACTCTCACTCTCACTCTCACTCTCACTCTCAACTCTCACTCTCACTCTCACTCTCACTCTCACTCTCACTCTCACTCTCACTCTCACTCTCACTCTCACTCTCACTCTCACTCTCACTCTCACTCTCACTCTCACTCTCACTCTCACTCTCACTCTCACTCTCACTCTCACTCTCACTCTCAACTCTCACTCTCACTCTCACTCTCACTCTCACTCTCACTCTCACTCTCACTCTCACTCTCACTCTCACTCTCACTCTCACTCTCACTCTCTCACTCTCACTCTCACTCTCACTCTCACTCTCACTCTCACTCTCACTCTCACTCTCACTCTCACTCTCACTCTCACTCTCACTCTCACTCTCACTCTCACTCTCACTCTCACTCTCACTCTCACTCTCACTCTCACTCTCACTCTCACTCTCACTCTCACTCTCACTCTCACTCTCACTCTCACTCTCACTCTCACTCTCACTCTCACTCTCACTCTCACTCTCACTCTCACTCTCACTCTCACTCTCACTCTCACTCTCACTCTCACTCTCACTCTCACTCTCACTCTCACTCTCACTCTCACTCTCACTCTCACTCTCACTCTCACTCTCACTCTCACTCTCACTCTCACTCTCACTCTCACTCTCACTCTCACTCTCACTCTCACTCTCACTCTCACTCTCACTCTCACTCTCTCACTCTCACTCTCACTCTCAACTCTCACTCTCACTCTCACTCTCACTCTCACTCTCACTCTCACTCTCACTCTCACTCTCACTCTCACTCTCACTCTCACTCTCACTCTCACTCTCACTCTCACTCTCACTCTCACTCTCACTCTCACTCTCACTCTCACTCTCACTCTCACTCTCACTCTCACTCTCACTCTCACTCTCACTCTCACTCTCACTCTCACTCTCACTCTCACTCTCACTCTCACTCTCACTCTCACTCTCACTCTCACTCTCACTCTCACTCTCACTCTCACTCTCACTCTCACTCTCACTCTCACTCTCACTCTCACTCTCACTCTCACTCTCACTCTCACTCTCACTCTCACTCTCACTCTCACTCTCTCTCCTCTCTCTCTCTCTCTCACTCTCTCTCTCTCTCTCTCTCTCTCTCTCTCTCTCTCTCTCTCTCTCTCTCTCTCTCTCTCTCTCTCTCTCTCTCTCTCTCTCTCTCTCTCTCTCTCTCTCTCTCTCGCACCATCTGTTGATCGTATTAAGGGCTTATTGAAGGATTGAAGATCACCTCTTCAAACTTTCCCCCAAATTAAGATAACCAGATCGTCCGCATAGCATTGTAAATCCACCCCCTACCTGTAGAGATCGTCTAGCAGGTTATCCACTAGAATGGTCCACAGTAGGGGTGAAAGTACGCCGCCTTGTGGACATCCTCTGGCAGGCCTGAAAGTGACCGTCTCTCCCTGCAGTGATGAAGTGATATTCCGGTTTGCCAGCATGCTTTTGATCCAATTACAAGTTAGTTTGTCGATTCCTCTTCTTTCAATAGAAGTGAACAAAGACTGAGGAAGGGCGTTGTTGAACGCGCCTTCTATATCTAGGAAGGCACCTAGCACAATCTCCCCATGATTTAGGGAATGGCCGATTTTGCCTACTAGATCGTGCAGCGCATGATCTGTCGATTTGCCTGCTTGGTAGGCATATTGGGAGGAGTTTAACGGGCTTGTTGTTGCCAAAGATTATTACGACAGCTATTTTGACATCTAAACAGAAAGATTAACAAAAGATTACCAGCATCCAGATGCAGCTGGCCAGCTGGTTTGAATCTAATTCAACGTGATATCATTGTTTGGTCATTCGAATGGGGATAGTTCAAACCACATGAAATAAAATATTATTTAAACCAGTCAATCGCTCGAATATAGCTTAACTCGAAATCTATTCAGGTTTGATGTCCTGCAGATAGCCTCGCATAGATTTGTAAGTACGAAAGAAAAAAAAAACAAAATCAGGTTTTACATTAGTTGAATAGACTTTAGGTATCCGGCTTGTGCGGAAAACTCGATATTATAATATATTTAAACAATACAATCTTGTTTCAATCTAACTAGTTAAATAGATATACCGTGCGGTGGATATTCATAATCCAATCCCGTCGATATTTGAAATAATCATTGAAAAGCTGGATTTAAAAATGAATCATACTTAAGCCCTTTCAGATGAAGTACCCTCTTGCTATAAAAAAATGAGGGAAGGCAGGCAGGAAGGACCTTTCATGTCATAAAGTGCCTGGATTAAAATAAAAGTAGGGATATCCGATCGTTTTTCACTTTTGTTTCAAATAATGTTTATATGGGGAGGGCTTTAAGGTAAAAACATAAAAGAGCAGGTCATATCGCCGAGCTGCACGGCAATAGTTAAACAATATCAGTAGAACGCCCAAATAGAAACAGACCGTAGCAATGCCTAGCCGCGTACATCGCCGCGCGCCTTGCCGTAAATTGAGAGCAAAAAAATTTGTTTTTCTACCGGCAGCTGCCTGAAACTAGCTGAAAGACTGACGTGAACAGAATAGTTATGCTTCAGAGTGTCGATAACGCGGCGACCTGCACGGCAACGTGCAAGGCAAGAAGCGCGGCGACGTAAATTGCTCCACTGTTTTACACTAAGATTTAATCTCCGCACTCTATAACCCAAATGACAGCAGGTAGGGCGTGGGGCTTTTCATGGGTTGAGAGGAAAGCAAAACCTAAAGTAGGTTGATAAGCGCTGACTTACCCCCTTTACGCTGATGCACCGCCGTACCTCCTGTTTCTATGAATCCCTCAATGGCAGTCGTTTCCGGTAAGTAGTGCGACTCCCGACGCGCGCTACTTCTCCTACTATCTCGCCGACTACCGGTGGCATGCAGTGCTGCAATAGAAAAATAAAACGTTACAGAAATTATTAAAAAGCTATTACACAAATAAATCGTCCTGACTACTCATCTGAATTAGCTCCATGTGATTTATATCTATTTCGAAAATCAACTTTTCTAAAAAAATAACTTGGGCATTATTTGGAGTAAGGTACTCCTACTGTACCTACTCAAGCCATTTATCTGCAATGTACGCATATTGCAAATTTTGAAGTTAAATTGTGACATGAACACAATTTTTGACTTCGTAACTTTGTTTGGACTAGTTAGAAGGTGAATATATCAAAATTCCCTGCCCGTAGCCTTTGAGCCAGGATGGGAGAGAGGGAGTTAAAATATTTTTCTCCTAACTGGTTCCTTATTAGTAATTTCAGTATTAAACTATCATAATTGCGTACACAAACAGCAAAAGGCACAATTTTGACATGACAGGTTGTCAAATCTGTCTTTAACAATAAAAGAAAAATTCAAACCTATAATAGTACCACATTAATTTAATTATAATAATTTTAATTTAAATTAATTTATCTGTATACAGACAGGAAAGTAAAAATGTTCGAAAAGATCTGCCAGTATTAAATTAATAAATTTATCTATTTCCAGGGCAATTAAAAAAAGACATTTTAAAAAATGAACCTGAAGGTTAATAAAAATTAAAAAAAATTGCTCGTTGTGGTTGACCTTGCATAAATATTTTTAACATTCTTTAATCAATTACTAAGGATTTTAAATTATAATTGAATCCGGAAATAATAGGCTATAATGGGGTGTATGAAAAATGCTGCCACTTGTCACTGATCCAATAAATATGTATTTTGAACATTTAGATAGATTTGATTGGCATAATTTGTATAATGAAAGGAATTTTTCGTTGAAAGACATTGCAAATAGCAGCTTTATTAGCATTCTTCACACATTCCTGACTTTCAATTACTGCCTATTATTCCGGATTCAAAATATAGTCGTTATAGTCTACTTTTTTGATAAACTAATCTGTTGGTATGCTTATTATACAAGTAGAAACAAAACATACTAATTTTTTGTTGTCGGTGACAGAACATTTCCAATTTTTCAACAAACTACTAATCAGCATTGCCTAGGGATATGCGGGTAGATTAAAATTTTTAAATTTTTGTATTAAATTTGTTTTTACTTTTCGGCGTTCAAAAATAGTATTCTCATTTCGTACGAGTCATTTTGAAAAGTGTTATTCATTTAGGGACTTTCAAAGAATTTGTAGTACCTATACCTTTATTTTCAAACCGATGTGAGTGCACCAGGAGTGCTGTATTACTGGTGTGTTGCAATTTTATTAAAGATAATTAAAACCATTTTTTCTGCATACTTGTAATAATGTTTGTCATGCCTGATGATGACCCAAGAAGGTCGAAACTAATTGGATGTATTATGTGGTACCGATTTACAAATAATTTTCTGTAGATACGTTTTCGGTATTTGAATTTGTTTTTGTTATGCATATTATGTCGCCAATGATAACCTACAAAATCAACTTGCCTGTGGAACGAAAGATCAGAGTAAATAGTCCGTTTTTTACATACAAAACGCAGTATATCCCCTTTAGTAATGTCACTGGGATTCAAGAAATGGCTTTGAGTTAAGCTGCGGCTAGGCGCAGAGTCACTTGGCGCTAGTATCGTTTTGAATTTTGACACGTCTGACAGCGGCACGTTCATTGGTTAAAGACGAAGCGTGAAGTGTCAGTATTAACTAGTGATACTTTTTTATTTTTTTCTGCTACGAAATTTATACCATTAATTTTGTTTCAGCGATATTTATTGTGATTTGTGTTGTTGTATTAAGTGCTTACTTATTCAATATGGAAAGCAAAACGTACAACAAATTCAAAAAAAGAGGATTCAAGGAGGGATTCCTATGGCTATCATCCAAGGGTCCCCGCCATAGATAATACTTTTCCAGTGGCAACATCCTTTAAAATTTAAGTATAATAAGTTACTGTTTCAGTTTCTTTCCTTTTTCGAAGTAGGTGTCCATTTTAAATACAAATTTTTATTTCACTTGTTGATTTTAGCATTTATACAGGGTGTAACTAAATAAGTGTAAAACATTTAAGGGGGTGATTCCTCATCGAAAAAAAGATAGGATCTTTAATATAAAGAAACTTCATTGGAGCATCCCTTGTTAAGATACGGCCTTTTAAAGGGGGTACATAAAATTTGTTTAACAATTTTTTTCACAAGCACTAAACAAGTTACAATATTGAAATTAACCTGACATTTTCTACTACCAAAAAGACACTTAGCCAGTAATTTATTTGGTTTACCCCATGGTTGTAAGGGGTGGAAAACGCAACCCCTAAAATTTCGTTTCAACGTAACTTTTTGTCTTATTTGTTTACCATTTAAAAATTTATTTCCGATAGCCTGTTTCATTCTAAACAAAAAATGTATCTTGAATTTTTTGCCCAAAATAAACCAGTTCGCAGCAAAAAATGATTTTACGAACAAGATAGATATCGCCATAAAACGAAAATACGAAACTAATTTATCTAGTAGGCCGCTATTAGCGATACTGACAATTACATTGAAATCAAGCTGTCAATTTGTAAATTTTTGAAATTGAAGTAATACTAATTGTGTATTGTTGTTCTGTTCGTAATTTGTTACTTTAATAATTCACTTGTTATTAAAATGGCATACACAAATGAGGAAATGGCTGATATGCATTACGTTTACGGTCTGTCGCAGGGGAATATGTTAGAAGCTTCTAGAAGATATGCTGAAATGTATCCTCAACGACAGCATCCTTCACATAGAATATTTGCCCGACTTCATCAACGATTACGAGAATATGGTTCATTCAACAAAGGAACGCACGATTGTGGTCGTCATCGAGAAGTAAGAACACCACAGCTTGAGGAAGCACTACTTAATTTTATTGAAGAACAACCTACTACCAGTACTAGAAAGATTGCTTTCCAGCTAAATGTTGATCATATGACGGTATTTCGAATTTTAAAGAAACATCTCTTATACCCTTACCATCTGCAACGAGTACAGGCACTGTTACCGCGAGACTTTCCGAACCGTCTTCAATTTTGCAGAATGCTGGAAATGATTAGAAGAAATCGTGACTTTCTGAAGACGATCGAATTCACAGACGAATTTAGTTTTTCTCGGGACAAGATTATTAATTTTCATAATTACCACATATGGGCTGATGAAAACCCTCACGCTATTGTTGAAACTCACCATCAAGAACACTTTTCTCTTAACGTGTGGGCCGGAGTTATTGGTGATTATTTAATTGGGCCTCATTTTCTACCTCCTCGATTAAATGGTGAGGTATACGTTCAATGTTTAAGATAAGTGCATCCCGTACTGCTGGAGGAAGTTCCTTTGGGCGTCAGAAGGCATATGCTCCCGCCCATTTTAGTCAAATAGCACGTCAGCATTTAACTGAAACATATGCAAATCAGTGGATAGGTCGAGGAGGACCACATAATTGGCCCGCTCGATCCCCGGATCTCAATCCTCTCGATTTCTCTACTTGGGGCTATTTGCAGCATTTGGTTTATCGTACTCCTGTTCGCGATGTAGAGGACTTAAGAAACCGCATCATCGATGCGTGCAGGGTAATTAGAGAGACTCCAGAATTATTTGAGCGAATACGTGGGTCAATGCGCCGACGTCTAGACGCATGCGTAATGTCTGAAGGTAGACATATTGAACATTTGCTATGATTTCTACATGTTGTATGTTTTGTTATTAATAAATTAGTTTTGATTATTCCCCTTTTTAATCATTTAATGCAGGTAGTAACTACAAAATAACAATAAATCCAGTTCGCATTTATGACGATGTATCTCTGCAGTTGTTCGTAAAATAATTTTTTGCTGCGAACTGGTTTATTTTGGGCAAAAAATTCAAGAGACATTTTTTGTTTAGAATGAAACAGGCTATCGGAAATAAATTTTTAAATGGTAAACAAATAATAAGACAAAAAGTTACGTTGGAACGAAATTTTAGGGGTTGCGTTTTCCACCCCTTACAACCATGGGGTAAACCAAATAAATTACTGGCTAAGTGTCTTTTTGGTAGTAGAAAATGTCAGGTTAATTTCAATATTGTAACTTGTTTAGTGCTTGTGAAAAAAATTGTTAAACAAATTTGATGTACCCTCTTTAAGGGGCTGTATCTTAACAAGGGATGCTCCAATGAAGTTTCTTTATATGAAAGATCCTATCTTTTTTTCGATGAGGAATCACCCCTTTAAATGTTTTACACTTATTTAGTTACACTTTGTATACAGTATTGGCTATTGAACACTTTTCAATGCGCTTTGCTAGCTTTGAAGTGAAAACTAAAGAGCATTAGTGCGATCAGGAAACGAATTATATGAATGTTGCCTTGTGTGCTTTGCAGTGGCGTAGCCAGCCATTTTGCATTAGCAAAACGTATTCGATAGCCAACACTGTACTATCACAAACATCTCTAAATAACTAACGAATTATTTAATTTACTATAGTGTTCCTTTTTTTTTTTTTTTTTTTTTTTTCAGTAAAATGGATATAGCTAGAGTTATCCTCGACTTTAAAACAAATTAAATAGGTAAGTTGTATAATTTTTAATTAAAATATTTTATACAATTTTCGTTTTATACCAGAGCTATTTTTTTTTTCCAGATCTAGCCTCTATAGGTAAAAAATAAGTGATTCAGGTAAAATTGAAAAGTATATTACATGTTCTTTTAAATGTGTTGTTAATCCAAACGCTGCTCTTATTATAATAGCTAACAATAAAAAATTCGTATTATCGCCTTAAAATTATATTTGAATTTATCGCCATATCAAGTTAGTTGAGATGCCAGTCGCAGTTAGCGCTGCAAACTTAAAGCCATCTCGTTAACAAGTAAGTTGCACTACTACATGGGATATATTGCGATACAAAATACTGCCGAACCACGTTGGTATAGTTATGTTCTATTTAATCACTTACAAACAATCAGAAAAGTCAAAAACACCCTTTTCACAAATAAAAATGGCTGCGATAAACAATTCTCGAAGCTAAATTATGAGTGAAACGAGTTTACAACTATTTCACAAATGGCATTGCTTGTCAAAGCTCCGTCAGACGAAAAATTTCTTCAAATAATTTGAAGGACACGGTATTGCGAGATAACGTATACTCGTGATTACCGTAAACTTGGCATCAATGTTCAATCAGAATATTTCATTTCTGCCTAGGACAGTTGGAATATTAACTCATCTTGGCTTCAGAAATATTGTAAACAATGCTACTGTCTTCGGCGCGTTTAGATCTATCAGTTTCATTCATGATTTTATTCATACGATACAATAAAAATGGTTTTACATTTGTAAAGAAATTTTGAGTCATATATATCTGTTTAACAAGTGTATCAACACAACAACAAAAATTGTAAATAAGTGAGGTTAAGTGTTGAAATTCATATGACCGGAACCGAATAATTATTGCATAATAACGTATGACCCGCACCATACACAATGATTCTATCACATGTAGGAACAAAGACTCAAATCAAAACAAATTTAGTTCAACTTATTAATATTTAGGTTGGTTGGTACTTCTGAACTTTAAGGTAAAATTGAAGGAAAATAGAATATGTTCTATTTATCGTGAAAACGTCCTTGAAGAAATTCATGAATTTATTCACGTGGAAGTTTGGCTTTACATATATCAATTTCTTCATGAATGAATTCATTGATTTTTTCGCTTCTCTTGGACATTCTAAACAAAATGGTTACCAGTAGGCATTGATATGGCAACCCTGGATTTGACAGGGTCAATTAAATAGTCATATAGATTGATCATCCGTAGATAGGTTTTTTTTTACTATAATAAAAGGTTGGAAAACATGCTGATTAGTAGTTTGTTGAAGAATTGAAAATGTTTTGTAAACGAGGTTGGATTCGAAATCTTATGTTCATCAATTTAGAAGTCGGTGACTAGGTCCTTGATAGCTCAGTTGGATAGAGCGGTATGCGCAGAACACGGATAAGTGGGTTCCAATTCCCCCGCAGACAGAATTTTTTTCAATTTTTCATTAAATTTGTTTTCAATGGGGGTTCAAAAATAGTTTTCATTATTTCGTAGGGGTGATTTTGGAATTTGTTTGGGGATTTCCAAGGAATTTAACATCTTAGTTTTCGGATCTATAATCGACAAATTTCCAGAACTTTAAAAATCGATTGTTTTCAGACGCAGCCAATGAGAAATCATACAGGCGGGGTGAATGTAGGTGTTTGATTCCAAGATTTTGAGTAACAATGAAAACGTTTTGTGAAAACGGCCTATTATCATTAGACTATTATTATAAATTAAATCTATTCACTTACCTAACATCATATTTGGCGAACTCAGTCCCAGGACCGTTATCAGTCTGTCAGCACCAAAAACGAAAAGCGCTCCCAGCAGGAAACCAGCTGCTACTGGAACAAATGCATACTCTCCCTTTTGGCCGTACAACTTAGATTCGCTAGCTTGCTCTATAGCTGGAGACAGCAACGACCAAAAGGAAGCTGCTGTCATTACACCAGCTGCGAAGCCTAAACTAGCGTCTAACAACTTTCTCTGAAAATCCAAAAAACAAAAATAAATTAAAACTATTCAATTTGTTATTTAACGTTTTTTAAATATTTATTTATTATTTAATTCCTGTGTACCATGGAAAAATGTATGTCAGTTGAGTCGCTGATTTCGTTTGTCGTTCTAAGCATGGACTAATATGGTACGTTAGCGTTGAAGAGATTATTCTAAATAGCTGAGGAGATCGGATTGCATACATTGGAACATTAAAATTAATCAAATTTTTGTTGAGAACTCTGAACGCCCAAGGATACGTCGATGACGTACTCGTCCTCATCCGAGGGATGCACCAAATCACAGTTTTCGTACTCATGCAAAGAGCCCTAAGGCTGACAGAAATTTGTGGAGTTAGGGGAAAACCTCTTGGTAACCCTTGACAAGGCACTACTCATAACCTTTAATCGGATACCAAGGTTGGAGGTCTTAGAAACTCCGAATCTGTTTGGAGGAGGGCTAAAAAGAATAAACCAAATAAAATATCCGAGTATAATCCTAGATAGCAAAAATACTTGGAACCAACACTTTCAATGGCTACCCAACAAATGTAAAATAACTTTGTAGAAAGAACGGCATTTGGGAAAATATAGGGATTAAACCCGAAAATGGTTCTCTGGCTATATTCGCCAATTACAAACCCCATGATTATCTATGGAGCAGTTTAGTAGCCAAGAGTAAGCATTAAAATAGCCCTCAATACCCTCTCAAAAGTACAGAGACTGGCATGCTTTTGTAAATATGTAAATAAGTATTAATCTCCCCCCCCCCTTGACCAGAGCGTGCGCCTTAACCTAGTCAGAAAGAGTGCATACATGCTTGATATCAATTGGAGCCCACTAAGAAATATAAAACATACCAGAATAACACATGGGGTAAATCATCCCTTATTAAATATGGTATCCACATGACGCCAAATCTTCACAGACACTTTTAGGTAAACTGCAACTGAAACGATGCAAATCAGGAGGTTGATAAATACTTGCTAAGGGGTATAGACAAGGTATAACCAAGGATCTACAATAAGTAAGGCTCTGTCGTACATAGAGTTAAACCCAAATGCGACATCACTGTCTCAACTGGAAAACATACCACTATATTTCAGGCTGAAATTTAATGAAACAATGGTCCATGCTATCAAGTTCTTTGTAAGAGGGATTTTAAGAAGGAAATACGAAAAAGAAACCATCTTTAATTCTCTCATACAGCCAAGCAGGCTCGTGGCTAAATCAAGTCGAATCGAGTCACAGCTGGTCTGGAACCACTTTGGAATATTTAATGATCTGAAAACCCACAATAAGGTAAAACTAGGGTAGGTACCGAGACATAAAGTTGTCCAAGGAAATGAAAAGGCTAGTGAACTCGCCAAGGAGAAATCAAAACTACAATTAACAGGAATTGAATCTGTATTTCGGATAAGCAAAACCTCTGACGACAAGCAGCGAACAGATGGATAACCACTAAATATCAAACTCACTACCAACAGATAAAAGGACACATAATAAGGAAGCTCATGCTAAGGAGACCAAACTCATGCGTGGCTGCTGAGGTAATACCTCTCGCAAGATATCCACCATTATTGTGGTATTACTACGGGACACTGCTTGCTGAAACAACTTCATGTGATGGGATTATACAATAATCCCACCACGTGTAGACTCTGCATGGAAGATGAAGAAACCTCATACCAAGTTATCTTCGAATGTGAAGCTATAGTTAGGCGATGATTCACCATTTTCGGTGAAGTAAACCCACAGTGTTCTGGGATAAATCTAACCCTACCTGTTGATAAATGACATATATAAAAAAAACAACCTTAAAATATAATACCTATATAATAAAATAAAGTAGAAAAGAAAACACACAAAGTCTGTCGACCACAGGGTCTTTAATAAATTCAGTTGGTAGGTTGCAAGCGCTTTCGACGGTTATCTTCGGGCATATTATTATATAAAATCCATGGGTTTGATCAACAAAAATAAAAATAATTAAATGAATGAAGTTTAAGAAACCTCTGTAACATGTAATTATGGTGTCAAATGATAAAATGTTATTTCATTTTAGGTTGTAAGACGTAGTAAATTGCAGTATATCATAAAACATGCCCGCTACCTGATCTCTACGTGCTCGCATGTAAAGATCTAGGCAACGGGCTTATAACGTAAACTACTGTTCTCTACCGTGTAAAACATATATTGTTTTCTCCGATTGTTTATACAGTGTGTTTAAAAAAAGGAACTAAAGTATAAAGTATAACGGATATACCTTCAGTTCTTATAAAAATACTTATAGTAACTTTGTTGTTAATTTATTAGAGTAACTTTTTTGGCCGGGTGCCCATGCAGGCAAGACTTCAAAAGATAAAAGAAGAAAAGTTTTTTATTCCTAGGCAGTAAAAATGATTTTAAATGCCTAGGCAGTAAAAGTATTACTTTTTTGATCGAGAAATGTCACTAAAAGTGACATTTAATGTCAATCGAAGAAAAAATATAATTTCTTCATTAATAACTTTGTGCAAAATTGAAATTAAGTTTTAAAATAGATGATTCATCTTAAATCTGCAGTTCTTGTTACTGTATAATCCGAGTTGGTGAAATAAGTTATAAAAATAAAAAAATTCAAATATACAAAAAAATTTGAAAATGAAAAGTTATTTTTAAAAATTTTCGAAAGTCGGTACAAAAGTTCGAATGTCAAGAGTTCGAAAATTAGAAAAGATTTAATATGAAAAAAAAAAGTTCGAAATTAGAACATGTAATCGAAATCGCATGTTTGAAAGTACTAATGACCGAAATGATATAAGATCGAAAGCATTATATTACGAAATTAGCAAATTAATTGTTTTTTATATATTTTTTATTTTGTGTATAATTCTTTATTAAATAACCCGCGTTGGCTCCAGGCCGTGCAGGTTAGGTAAATTAGTTTGGTTTTTAAAATGAGAAAACTTGAAAATAAACTTAAATCATTAAACTAAAAAAATAATATGGTCACTTTTGAGTAGGATCTTTCCTCTTTTAATAAAAAAAAATATAGATAAAATGAAAAATAACTAATATTAATTTTATAATATTGGTTTCGATCTTATACCATTTCGAACATAAGTAGTTTTAAACGTGATTTCGATCATTTATGCTTTCAATCATATTTTTGTGTGTAGTTGTTGGCATTGGATATTGGATAGAGTCAATTTGCCTCAGATGCGAAGTAGAAAAAGAAAAAGGGAACACAAAAAATAAACTTTGGAATTATATTTCTAAATTAATTGAACTGAAAAAATTAACAAATAAGTCAAAGATATCTTTATTACCATTGCTTAATAAGAATATTAAATTAATGGGGTTAGGACAATTTCTATTTCTTCTAGCTTCTAGTAATTGGGTACTTTTTGATAGTGATTTTTGCATGTAAAAAAGATGTGATCATATCTGATTTCGATCATTTGCAATTTCGATCATATGCGATTTCAATCATTTGTTCTAATATCGATCTTTTTTGGTTTCGATCTTTTCAATTTCAAACTTCTTTAGTTTCAAAGTTTGTCTTTCGAACTTTTGTATTTTTGATGTTTCGAATTTTTATAGTTCGAACTATTGTTTTCGAAATTTTGACGATCGAAATTTTCTAATTTGAACTATTGTTATTCAAACTTATTTCACCAACTAGCATAATTGGGCCAAACATCGTTTAATGAAAATAGCAGTGCAGTTACTGGAAACACTAAAAGAGGTATTATACAAGGTGGTTTAGAGCTAAAATAATTTCACAACCTGTCTATAAATTAGGTGAATAAAAAAGACAATCGAGTACATAGGGGTGTAAAATTTTTAGATATGATCCAAATGATTTGATCATTAGAAATCAATATTTAAAATGTACTACCTTCAATAATAAATTAAATTTGTAACTTATTTATGTTGGATGATTTAAAAAACCAGTAAATTTGTTACATTTCAATCAGTTCTTCATCGATTTAAAAAAACTTTATATCGCCAGTAGCTAAAAGGACTGGCTTTCGAAGCATCAAAAAATATACGGGGTGTTCCATTAAAAAAAATTAACAAATTCGTCTTTAAAAAAACGCCATTTTGTTTTTCAGTAAACCGGAAGTGCTAAATAATTTTGGATTGACCGAAATATAACTTGGAATAAACATTTCGGTGAAAACCGCATGTTTTTAAGCACTTTCGTTTAAAAGTTATAAGCTTGCTAAATGTTGGAAAATATAATGGGACACCCGGTATTATTTGAATATTTTATTTAACAAATTATATTTAAAAGGATAAAATGTTTCTATAACGTTTTATCTTTTCTAATAGTGTTAAAGTTCGGGGTTAATAGGTAACGATAGATACATAATAATATATTACTTTTTGTTCTAGAATGCATATTTTTTTAAATATTCTAAATATTACTTTTTGTAGAATGTAGTACCTACAATTACAAAACCGTGTCAATGTTTAATTAATTAGCCAATTTCTTTTTGTTTTCAAGGCCAGTTATTTCTGAAACACACTCGTCTATACCGGGTGACCCAAGTAAGTATATTTGAACCAAATTTAAAGACTTATAACATGAAAATGATTTGAAATATCAACGTCGAGATTTCACTGGATATTTTTTTTACAAATTTCACTTTTGTATGTATTGCAACTTCCGAGGTCTGATTGTATATTACGCCGATCAATTTCTTTTGAAAATAAAACATCGCTCACTCTGTACAGTAATACTGATATTGTCAACATTGTTTAATTTTCAAGTTTGGAAATATGAACATGAATAATCCCCAATTCCCCTAAGAAATTATCAAAAATACACCTCCATATCCTCAAAGTGAAAACAAAAAGAAAAATTGAAAAAGATGAGAAGTAAAGAAAGAAAAACGAGTACATCGATCAGGGATCGAACCTGGAACCTTCTAGTACAATTTTTAGAAGGTCGTCCTTTCTACACGATGTCACAAGTGTGGGCTTTAAGAATAATTGAGGGAG